TCTCATCTGCCCCAGCCAGTCAATGAAAAAAAATGAAAGCACTTAAAAGAGAGCTTTTCCACAGGTCCATCAGAGAGACGCCCTCCCAGACAGCTCCGGGTTTAGTCTCAGCTCATGCCCTCTCCCCCAGAAACAGCCCCCGATGCCACAGTGGTGACTTTCTCTGCGTCTGAAGGTAGGGGCTTCTCTCCCCATAGAAACAAAGGTTTTTCAGAAAAGCTCTCTTTTTCTGATAGAAAAGAGTGATTTTCTCCAGGATAGTTGTCATGGCTTAACTCCTCCCCCAGCTATAAAGTCCCTGACATGGCAGATGCTCACAGCCAAGAAGCCCGGCTTTACTGCATCCTCTGAGCCAGCCGTTTCCTGCCCCACTGGCTCTCTGTGGTTCCCTGCCTCCACAGGGATTCTGACTGCTTCTTTTCCTGGCTAGGAGGGGCCTTTTGCCCTCTTTCAAAAGGTCTTTCTGTTTTCTCTTGGAGTGAACCACAGTGAATTCCCGCATTCTTCCAGGTAAATCTAATTTTGCCCTTACTGAAAGAGAAAATCTGAGCAAGTTAGTTCTAAATGGCTTTTTAGTTTTTTAGAGAGAGATTACTAAGTTTTTTCCAAGAAAGCTTTCAGTTTGAGAGAGAAAGACTACCAAGTTTTCCCAAGACTTCTGTTCTCTAAACTTTTTGACTTCATGGTCAAGAGGAAGCTAATTCTCCATCTGTATCTGCCTCAGGGGAAATCTCTTGTCTCTGCTACTTGGACTTAGCATTCTAGCTGTCCCCAGGCCAAAAAGCTTCCATAGGAATCTTTTCTGCCCATTAAGCTCAAAGAAGAGCTTTTTTCTGCCTATTAAGCTCAAAGAAGATAGTTTTTTTTTTTTCCCAGTTTGCATTCATAGTCCCATAGTTAGAAAATTAAGGACCCAGTTTCTCTGTCTTGTAGCTTATTTTATTCCTAGCTTTTTTCTTACACTATATTTCTTATTTTTTCATATATAGAATTTTAAGAGAGAGAGAGAGAGAAACCTAGATAGAGAAAATGCTACAGCCTTACTAGTAGAGCATCTTCCAGCCCCTCATTCTTCCTCCTGAGAATAACCCCCCCCCCCACACACACACACACATACCACCTTCACTTTCACTACAAAACTGGACCAGTCCAACTGCTCCCCATGGGGCTTTCTCCACAAGCTTTCATCAAGTACTCTGGGTCCCTGTTCCTGGAACCATTTGAGGGAGACCAGCTCCCTCTTATTCCCTCAGGGTACTCTTGAGCAGGAAGACATGAGGAATTTGTAGATAGAAGTATATATAGAGAGAGACAGTTAGAAAATACAGGATAGCCCTGGGAGGGCCTGGGTCCAAACCAATCAGCCCCTTCTGTCTCTACTATAGGGCTTTTTAAAGGAATGCCAAGGGGTGGAGCAAAAGACCTCCCCCCAGCACAGCCAAGTGTAGACCATCCCAAACATCTGGTGACCTTGCTCATGGTCAAGCCATCCCCTAATGCAGCTCTGCTGTGTAAAACAAGCTCAGATCTCACTTGAAAACCTTTGTGGGCTCCCACACCTATTCACCCATCCGTCCATTCACTCATCCACCCATCTTCTACATATCCATCCATCCATCCATCCATCATCTATCATCTGTCCATCCATCTGTTCATCAACTCATCTGTCCATGCATACCATAAATATGATTTGCAGAGTACCAGCCATGTTCATGTCTCCATGCTGGACAAACATGAATACAGATGCATACAAGGCAGAGTCCTGATATGACAGAGCTCAGATTTTCAGGCCACCATTCAGTAAAAACAGAAAACTAAATTTTGAGACATCAAGTATGAACAAGGCCTATGAAGACAATTAGGTTAGGGCATCAGGTGGAGTGATGGAGGCTGTGCTAGACTGAGTGGTCCAGGAATAATATCCAGTGGGCCAGATTTTGTTAACAACGAGGAGAGACTTGTGATGAGTTCAGTTGTAGGGTAAGGCAGTTACTCATAACTCCAGGATGGGTGATTACATTGAGTGCTTGCCAGTTTCTCACCTGTACCCCAACCGCAGGGTGAGCTCTTGACTATCCCTGCGATACTCCCAGAGTCTTTGAGTGAGTTCCTACCTCACCCAGGAGCCCCTCCTCTATGACTCAGTGTAGACTTGCTCACAGTGGAGTCCCACAAAGGACAGTGGAAGTGAGGTCTCAGCCTGTCCCAGGAGAGGGCTACTGGATCTGCAGCATCTCTGCCCTCCCGTCCTCGCCCCTAGCCTGTATTCTCCATTGACGTGCTCTGCTGTAGGGAGAATAGAAGCTACCCTGACAAGAGAAAGCTGAGATGGCCAGGGGTGGGAGTCCAAGTCAGCAAGGCTGAGGGTGGCAGCTGGGAGGGGGGCTGTGATGCACAGGTAACTTGGGGGATGGGAGAGGACTTGAGGAGAGAATCTCCAGCCCTACCCTAGAGGGAAAGGGATGCCTCATTGTGCTACCCTTGGAGCAGGTGGCTGTCCTCATGTGGCATGACTGGAGTGGAAGGCTGGGCTCCACTCCTTCATCCTTAGGTGGCAAGGGTGTATTGCTTGAGAGGAGTTTGCATGGTGCTGTTGTCTTCTCTGGGTGTGGAGACAGCCCCAGGGCAGGGAGGAGGGTCCTAAACTGCTCTGCCAGGGAGCTTTACTACCACAACCATGCAAGCTTAAGAGATCAAGAGGCGTGTTGTCTGTACCCAGAGTTACATAAGAGCAAGGAATGGGTAGGTCCTTGGGGTGCAGAGATACCAGTGCCCAGAGTAGAGGATGCACCATGCAAGGTCGGACGGCCAGCTAGGCAGATGCAAAGGACACAGACAGCACTGACTTCGTTCCAGAACTCTCCATCGGCTGTCACAAGGGGCTTAACCCCAGAGCCAGCCTTCCACTTCTGGCTCCACTATGAGTTGTTATCGTGGCCTGAGCCCTGGGGAGTTCCAGTTGCTTCTTCCCCACCCCACCCGATGTTGTGCCGGGGAGCCAGGGCCTCAACGGTGCCAAGAGCGACACTCCCTTGTGTGTGTGCATCAACCTCCTCCATCCACACCATCTCCAGACCCTGGGGCCCTCCCCAGCTGTCTCTACCTCTCAGCCAACCCCACGTCTCCCAAGCTGGGGACACTGTGGCTACATCCCCAGCTCTACCACCTTCCCTCACTCCTTTCCAGGAGCCAAGGCCCTGGCCCCACACATGGCTGGATGGAGTCCCTCTCCTGCTGCTCTTAGGGTCAAGCCCAGTCTCCCTTACCCTGCCAGTGAATAGTGCCTGGGCTGGCCACTCCACTTTCTGCTCACTGTTTCCCTTTCCTGACACTTTCTTTTCTCCTGCAGCCCCCGAAGGCCGCCTCCAAGCCTTGCCTGTGCTCTGCTACCGTGGGTCAGGAGTTCCGATGCTTTCCCACGGCGGTCTGTATCACTCTCGCCCCGCAGGCCTGCTCCTCCCTCTGCTCCGGCAACCCCTGACATGGACTTGCAGCTTGGATGGGAGTTGCCATCTTTGGCCACGGGGCAGGGATGAGCCTGGTGTCATGAAGGGATCCAAATGTAGCAAGAGGCTCCCCGAGTGTGCTCACTCCAGACCTGTGGGCACACTGAGGAGTGGAGAGAGCTCAGGCTGCCGATACCGTCTACCTCCCCAGGAACCATAGAGGTTGGTTGGGGGCCCTCTCGAAAGTTCTGTGCACAACCGCTCCCTCCTCTGAGACTAAGAAGGGTTCTTGGCTTGGTAACAACCTGTTCCCCTGCCCTACCCAGCTCTTGAAAGCAGAACCCTGGCATGAGACACTTATAGCCACACAATGGGGACTGGCTGCCATGAAGGGTGAGGCCCACCTGGTTAGATGACAGGAAAGCTGGTCAAGACAGGAGACGGTCCCATGTTCCTGGATGGCTGCCCCTCACAGCCCTAGACCTCCAGACTCTGGAGAAGAAAGTTGGCCACTCAAGGAAGGCATACTGAGAGGTTGAGGGGATGAGGTATGTCCAGGGTCCGGTGGGAGGATGTTGCTCAGCACCCTCAGCTCACTCGGTGTGCTCCTCCTTCCCTACCTTCTTGTCCTCTACAGCTGCAGGTGGGTGATAAGGTGGACTCCATCTCCACCGCCCTAGCTTGCTGTTCCCAAGTGCCCAGTGCATACTTCTGACTTGAGCAGTCTTTGAGGGCATGCAAGGCAGGGCACTTGAGTCTCGACACTAGGGGACTGTGGCTCTGTGAAGCTAGGAGGTGTCTTCTGGGACGTGTGAAGACACACAGGGAGGTAGAGGGGCTCTGGGGGTAGCTGGGAGGTAGCAAGCAGGGAATGAGTGGGTGTGTCCTGGCCGGTTGCCTAGGGATACAGCAGATGAGGGAAAGGAGACTGAGCTCTGTTTCTGGACTATGGGTGCAATGTGATTAGATACTCTAAGCTCTGGCTGCCTTGACCTCCTTACCATGATGAACTGGACCTTGAACTGGGAGCCAAAGTAAACTCTTTCTCCAGCTGCTCTTGTCAGGGTATTTCATTACAGCGACAGGAAAAAAACAGCAGGGGCGAGGAACAGAACTCTCCAGAGTTGAAAGGCTCTGGCTTTACCCTTCAGGAAGAACCCCAGAGGGGATGTGGCATTGGGTGGCCTCAGAGTCCTGGTGATTGTCCATAAGGATGAGGGTTTCCCATGCCACCACCCAGGGGTACGGACTTGTGGGGTTCCTGGGGCACTGTGAAGGGTGTGAGCATCTTGCCAGTAGCAGTATCAGGGACATCACGGCTCAGAGGGCTCTCAGGGGATCCCTGTGAGTCCCCCCACTTGGGAGGTTGTAGAAGTCTGTTCCCTCTGTCTTGGCCAAGGAAACCCAAGAGGCAGAGTGCAAGGCAGAGGCACTGCTCCTATACCCAGGCTTCTGCAGTAAGAATCCCACTCCGCCCTCTCTCAAGTGACCCTGCCTGCCTCTGAGGATGAGGCTGGCCAAGGACCAGAAATCCCCAAGACTCAACACCTTGGATCGAACAGACTGACACATTTATTTTTCTCTTGGGACAGCATCAGTTAAGGGTTGGCAAGATGGTGCTTCCAGGGAGACAAAGTGATTTCCCCATGCCTAGAGAGGATGGACACCTATTCCAATGCCCAAGGTAACCAGCCTCACCCCCACCCCCACCCCCGCATACACACAATGGGCAGTTAGGAGACCTTTTAAAAGCTTATGTTCAGTTGGACAGGAACTAGTAGGGTCCCTGGGCTGTAGAACTTGGCTAACAGATGGAGACCCTGGAAGGCCCTAGTAGGCAGACTTTGATTGGATTATACAACTAGATGCTTGGATGTATGTATATATGGATGGATGGATGGATGGATGGATGGATGGATGGATGGATGGATGGATGGGTGGGTGGATGGATGGATGGATGGATGGATGGATGGGTGGGTGGATGAAGGGATGGATGGATGGATGAAAGGATGGATGGGTGAGTAAATGGTTGTATGGACAGAGAGAATATTGGTGGCCATAGAGTACAAAGAGCTGGAAGGATCCAGTGCCCAAACTTTACAATCATGTCCATACCAGGGTCACTTCATGCATAGAAGAGGCCCAGGGGTCCAGATGGCCATGTACAGGGTCCTCAGGCAAGGAGCGGGTAATACAAAAGCCAAGCCTAATATCTGTTGGATGCTCCTGAAATGTGGGTGGAGGGAGTTGGGGAAACAGCGGCTCTTCAAACTGAGGGTTGCTAGGCACTTCCAGGATTCAGCAAAGGGCTGAGGTCTCATAGAAGGGGGGGGGGCAGCTCTTGGGGAGGTGTGTCCTTGTGCCCTGTTGGAACATTTCCTGAGAAAGGAAGAGAGCTGGAGCCTTTGGGGACAGATGCTGCTACTTCCTTTCTGCGAGAGAAGGGAAGACTTGAGTGTGTCTTGGGGGAAATGGGAAGAGAGGTTAACAGCCTGGCTGGGCGGGGGTAGGATACTTCTGAGGCTGCAAACAGATCCGCCCCCCCGCCCCCCCGCGCCCGACAGCTGGGAAAGGCCACGCAGGCCCTCACCAGGCAGCTCGAAGCAGCGCCCACAGTAGGCTGGCAGAGGCACTGGCCCACAGGGCCCCAAGGCTGCTGGTCAGGCCTGAGGCGGCACTACGGTTGCAATGGTTGCCCTCGCAGCAGAAGACAGAGAGAGCGCGGCCGTCGGAAGACACAGTGCTGTTGGGGCAGGTTGGTGCGCAGGACTTCATGACCAGGATGCCACCAGGGTTGGCTGTGGAAACAGGAGGAATGGCCATGGGTGTCGCGGCCACGGTGCCCACAGTTGTCGCTGCCCAGCCAGCTCTTGGGGGACCCGCAGCCTGGGGCCACATGCTTCGGAGGTAATTCCTGGAACTCTTGAGTGTTTGAAGTGGCAGCATGGGGCGTCTCAAAGGACCTTGTGAACGAGTGTCCTTCCTCGGTGACTCTGGGGACATATCCTCTTTATGATGGACTGGACTTTGTGACACCGGAGGCCAGGGACTGACTTGAAGACTCCTCCCTCCCTCCCTCCCTCCCTCCCTCCCTCCCTCCCTCCCTCCCTCCCTCTCTCCCTCCCTCCCTCAGTCTCTGAGTCCCTCAGCTCCATTTTCCCTTTCCTGAGAGATATCTGGTTCTCCAATCCTCTCCTCTCTTTTCCCCACCCCTTCCTTCTCATCTCCTCCAGGAGACAGGCTTGGGCCCCACTTAGCTCTCACACCTCTTGGGACTGGGACGCCCTGGACAAGGCTAAGTGACCATAAAGCTCCCACGCTTGCATGGCAGCCCCTAGGTTTCACAATCCATGAGAAAGTCAGAGGCAGGGCTCGCAAGGGCCCCTGGGAGAGGAGAAGTTGACCTGAGTTGGGGCTGTCTCGGGAAGTACCAGTGTGCAAGACTTGTTCTCTGTCTGCATGCTCATCAGAGGGATGGGTTGCTTTGTGTTTACACACACACACACAGTGGGGACAGCAGAACTCTTGAGAACACACGGCCCCAGGAAAAGCAAGTAATTTCCCTTAATCCGCACTGCGCAGAGGTCCTGGGAGCTGTGATTCCAGACCTGTGAGCAGGGGCCTCTACCCTGCAGTTAGCCCAGACACTTGTATGACGGAGGTGAGATAAGTACTCAGGATGCTTGATCTTTCTATGCCTCAGTTTCCCCACTTGGAGAACACAGACCAAAGGTGGAATTAGCCTTTGCCCCAGCCCTTCTTTGGAGTAATGAGGAATTTGTGGCTTGTTTGAGAGCTGTGCTGGCGTGAAGAGAGTATGGCTACATGTTAGTCACTAGTTGGCAGTAGTTAGTGGCCGAGCTCAGTACCACCTCCGAATAGTCTTTCCCTGGCCTTGGCAACACAGGGAACGGAGGTCCAGAGTGGATCACAGCTGCTCCTGGACAAAAGAGAACCTAACCCTATGGGCACATGCTGCTAGTGGCTGGGACTCGTCCAGACCTAGGAAGCACTGTAAGGACACAGCCTCCTCCTAGGGCAAGAGGGACGCTAGACTTCTTCACATCTTACGGTAAATGCCCAAGTCTAAGGTAGGGGCCTTTGCCATCCCAGATGAAGCAGGAGAGAAGCAGCCTTAGTGGCTGTGTGTGAAAAATGGCTGGGAGATATGGACGCCATGGCAGGGTCTAGAGAGAAGGTTCTGGCGCTGGTACTCCATCTGGTCTCTCTCCCTGGAAACTCAGCCGCTAGATGCTTCTCCTAACCCCAGGGGACTCACACATGGGGCCTGCCGCAGGCTGCTAATGTCATTGTGTCCCCCTTCCCTCCTCACCTCGGGGACAGGGAGATCCTGGGTCTGCCCATTGTCACTTCACTGGACAGGGGCAGGAACAGAAGCCTCTTTCTACCCACAGTGGACTCTCCTACCCAAGGCCAACCCATGTTGCTTCTCCAGAGAACTTCCTGCTGCCTTCTGAGGGCTATCTTTGAACTCTGCTTGACTGTGACCTTTGAGGTCCTGGAGCACAGGAATGCCCCCACATATCTCAGTGTCCCTGCATTCAGCAGATGCCTGGGGAGATGGATGGACAGACTACAGGCCAGATAGACACATGCTCAGCAGGAATGCCCCCACATACCTCAGTATTCCTGCATTCAGCAGACACTTGGGGAGATGGATGGACAGACTACAGGCTGGATAGACAGACACATGCTCAGTAGGAATGCCCCCACATATCTCAGTGTTCCTGCATTCAGCAGACACTTGGGGAGATGGATGGACAGACTACAGGCTGGATAGACAGACACATGCTCAGCAAGGGGCAAGTGCCAGCAAGGACAAAGACAGGGCAGGAGCCCAGGAGACAAGCTCTTGAGCAGGGACAGAACCATGGGGCGCGCTGGTTACCTGCTGACCCTCACTGTTGACCATCTTTGCCTCAGCAGGGCCCCCCCTCCTGCTCGGGTTTTTGCTGAATTTTGGCTCCTGATGTGGCACTCACCCGTTGCTGGGCAAAGATCCCATCCTCACTGTTCTTGCCTTGTGCCCTGGGCAACTGTTGGGCCTGCATCCCATTAGCTGTTCGTCTCTTGCAGCACACTACTATGGAGAGCTAACAGCAGCTACCTCTGGGCAGGACGCTCCTCTGCAGAGCAAGGAGGGTCCTGGAGGCAGCGGAGGAGTAGCTGATGATTCCTCCTAGAGCCCCTGACCGAGCATCACAGGAACCAGCCAGGGTGCAGACCAGAGTATCACGCAGGGTCTGGGCTGGGTGAATGCGTGATTCTACCAGGACAATGCCTCTTCATAAATTAGGGGGGCTCCAAGTCTGAGCTAGAAGTGCCTGGGTTACCACTGGGATTTGTGGGCAACTGTGTTCTGATGGACAGACCAGGCCACCGTGAAGCCACCTGGTTTCCTTCCCCTCCTCCCAGAATAGGATCTTGGAGCAAGCTGCCTAGTGACCATAGCAACTCCCATTCACCGGAACCAGTGGTCTCGTGATCCAATTCCAAATGGCAGCAGCAAAGAGAGTTCCCCCAAACCCTTCCAGACCTAGAGGTGACACTGTCCTTAGAGTCAGAAAGGTTCGTCAACCTGTCTGATACGCCCATGCATTCTTCTGGGGCCACTTCAAGTACGTGACTCCCTGCCTCCAGCTACCCCAGCACCAAGCCTGAACCCCATCACAGCCCAACACACAAGCTCTAGGCCCCAGCTCAGCCCCACTGCTCCGGAGAGAACCAGGTGCACGGTGGGACACAAAGGAGAGGGCCTGGTCAGGGAAGAGAGAGCTCTGGTCAGCAGCAGGATTGAATTCTAGAGTCATGGCAGGGTACCCAGGGGCAGAGGCTATGGTCAGCTGATTGGAGACAGGGATGTGGGTGAGCAGGAAAGGTCCAGAGGGGCCTGGAATACCAGGGTGTGACGTCAGTATCTTCAACATGCCAGCCTGTATCCAACCCTCCTCCCACCTGATTAGCCCTAGTTTAAACTGTGAACCAGAGAATGGTGGTGTCCCTAGAATCTGGAGTGGGGACACCGAGAGCTTCCGACGTGGAGGGTGGACAGAGGTGAAAGGGGGCCAGGAAGTGCTTGTGTGGCGCTGCTGGGGCAGGATGGGGCCTGCGTGGCCCAGGGTACTCACTGGCCCGAGTGATCACACAGTACTTGTCCGTCAAGGCGCACTCCACGAGAGACTCGCAATTCTCGTGCCCACAGCACACGTGGCAGTACAGGGCCCGGGCTGGGGGGAAGCACAGGCCATCAGTCTGGGCTGAGGCTGGGGCTGGGGCCAAGTGCCCAGCTGCCTGCCTAGTGGCCCACACAAGGTCATACTCTCTGATCCTCCTCTCCATCCAGGAGTTCCCCCAGTCCTCTGGGAGGGTCCGATAAAGCCAGGAATTCCATGGTAGTGATTCAGACCTGCTCCTCCCTCTGTCCCCTCTGGCCCTGTGTGTGTCAGTATCAAAGTGTCAGCTTGAGTGACAGGCAAGTGTGGGGTATGATGGCATGCTACCCTCAGGCTAGACTCAAAGCCCTTCTGCCTAAAGCTTCCCTGGCACCTATGAACTCCCACACTTATCTGCCTCTCTGCTCTGTATTTATCTCTCTGTCAAGGAGACTGAGAACATTAGTGAATATAGGAGAGCCTTGTCGGCTAAACCAAGGGGAGATCAGACAGGTAGGCAGACGGGTGTATGTATGTACATATGAGTGGGTAGGTGGATGGATGGTTGTGTGGATGGGTGGGTTGGAGAAGGGGTGAGTGGATGGACAGATGGGAAGATGGATGGATGTACAGTTGGATGAGTAGATAGATGGATGGGTAGAAGGATGAATGGGTTGAAGCATGGATGCCCAGATGGGCAAATGGATGGATGGACAGATATGGGTGTGTGGTTATATGGCTAGATGGACAGATGAGTGAATGGATGCATGTGTGTGAGTGGATGAGCAGAGAAATGGATGGATTGGTGGATGGGCAGATGGATGAAGAGTTGGGTAGTGAAAGGGTGCATGGATGGGTGGGTTCACTGGTAGATGTATGTTTAGATGAACACATAGGTGGGTTGATGGCTAGGTGCATGAATGGAGAAGTAGAGGTGGATGGCAGAAGGGATGAAGCAGAAGGAAGAAATAAAAAGAGGGCTGATTTAGAGCTTCTAATTCTCATTATCCCAACTGCGATCCATGGCGTCCTCACCTATAACATGGGAATAATAGTGTTCTTGGCTTTCTCGGATGATAAAATGTCAGAATTCATAATGCACATGGCTCCTAGCCCCTCCTTCCTAGGAGAGGGCTGAAGGGATCTTTAAGGGCTATAGACAGCTGGCTTCCTTGCCAGGGCTGGCGGGCTCTAATGACTTGTGTCTCTAAGCATCCTTAGGTACTTAGAGCTGTTCATCTGGAGGGAAGGAACAGCCTGGCCCTGCCCCACTCTACCTAAGGCCTATTGGTGGCCCTAACCTCCAGGCTGAAGGCAGAGGCTTCAGCAAAAGGCTGCCAGTGCTAGGGAGTGAGTGGGCAGACTCCAGAGATGGGTGATTGATGGGCCGATGCTGTGTCACTGGCCACAGCTTCTAACCACAAAAAACTGACGGGCCCCTGGAAAGAACACAGGCTTCCTAGGCACGGCTGATTCAGTAGGCAGCGAAACTCCTGTAAGGGCGGCTGGGGCAGAAGGCCAGGATTACTCCATGGTGACTCCTGAGAGACAACATGGTTTGTAAAACAGTAGGGCAGGGCCCCACATCTGAGCCCACACGGGTGGACTTCTCTGTGTGGCTGGGAACAGCTGCATTGGCCAAAGGTGTGGAACGGCAGAAACAAGGCCAGCCTGGAGGGTTGCAAGGACCTCTCAGCTGCCTCAAGACATGCTAGGGGGTCTGGTCAAGAGGCTGGGCTGTGGAGACAGATATCTCTGTGGCCAGGCCTTGGGAGGTGTCCTGTAAGGAGTGTCTTGTAGGAGTTTCACTTAAGGGCATTGAATAGCAGATGTGTTCTCTAGAAGTGTCACACAGGGGAGTGTCCTGGAGGGGTTTTCCTGTAAGGGTGTCAGGGAACAGGTGCCCTTGGCAATGCACACCTGCTTGGTTGGAATTAGATGATCACACCTCCCACATAAGAATCATCAGTGTTGAAGCTGTGGTGGCCCTGTGTTGAGAGTTGGGAGGTGTCTGCGGCACTCCTTTCTGGGATAAGAGATATACATTTCTCAGGTTACAGGGTCTCTGGAACTCTCAGGAAAAATGGCTTCCTCATTGGCAACGTCTCTTGACTATCCTCTCCTACCCCATGCAGTACCTCTGCATACTCGTCTCCGGTCCTGTTTGGCTGGGGAGACACTTCTAGGTTATTCTAGACAAGGACCTCATAGTACCTCAGTTTCCTCATTGTGGTCCCCAGAGACCCTCTGCCCTACAAGCTGGTGAGAGTTCCTCCTTAAGTGTTCAGAGCCCCAACGAGTTTCCAGCAGGCATGGCTCTGCCAGAATGCTATAAGCTCAACCTCTCAGGAAAGCTGAGCCTTGAGGACAAAAGTGCCCCAGCCAGTCAGTGTCTCCACCTTCTGACTCAGCCTTTCCAACCTCCTGCCCGGTAGCTGGCACTGCAGTTTCTGATTGGTGTCCCTGATCTGAGGTCTCGCTAGTATCTTCCTCTCCGTGATTTCTAAGTGATAACCCCAACCTGACCCTGACCCAGACCTCCTCCCTGTTCTCCAGGCCAGCCTCCAGGCCCCTCCCACTGTCCCCCCACCTTCCCACATGGGTACCTGATGGCTAGACTGCTGCCCAAGGCCCTTCTTCCTTTCCTCCGCCCCCTCCCCACGCTCAGGGGAAGCTGATGGGGCTAATTATCCTGGAGATGATAATTATTCCACTGATAATCACAGGCTGAAGTCCATCCCTCCCACTCCCCCGCCTCATTTCTGTCCCTAAACCAGGTCACCAGGGTCAGGGCAGAGTGTTCTAGAGAGGTTGACCCATGCAGCCGGTCTTGTCCATGGCCTTCCCTCCCACCCACCCACCCCCCCTTTTTTTTTAGCACCAAGAATCCTGCATTTAGGAGCAGCTCATCCTGGGAAGAGGGCCACTCTCGATAAATCTCAGGTCCCAGTACTCACAAGTGGTACCCAGGGTACCTCCCCTTCATGCATCTCTGGCTTCTCACCCTAATTTTTATACTAACCCCCTACACACACACACACACACATACACATACACACACACACACACACACACACACACACACACACACACACACAGAGCCAGAAAGGTACCACATAATATCTAAAGGGAAGAGGTTTCTGAGTCTGGCTGAGCAGGAAGCCACCATAGGAGCCTCCACCTCACTCCCTGAAGCCTCCTCACCAGGCCAGTGCCCCAAATGGTACCCGCTCAGCTCAGAAGCCCCAACCCCCCATGCTCCTGAACCCCTTCCTAGAGGCTGCCTGCCTCCCTTCAAACCAGGGGCAGCCAGTGCCTTACCCAGAGAAGCACACACAACAGCCAGCAGCAGCAACACCAGGAGGGTCCTCATCTTGGATGTCCACCAGCAACTGGCAGCCACCAGGGAGAGGGTGCCTTTATAAGGCCAGTGAGTGCCTGGGGAAACCTGGTAATTTGGCTGGGGGATGAGCTTGGGGTGGCAGGGCTGGCCTGACTCATGTCCCCCAGGCTTCCTCAGCCCCACCTCCAAGGTGCCCCTTGACCTGCCCTTTTGTCCCCAGTCTTCTAAGCCTCCACTTCCGGCAATTACTGAGAGACCCCAGTGACACCAGGGAAAAGAAAGGAGGTCTTCCGTGACAGCCCTGTCTTGTAGTCTGAGAAGAACGTGGCTCTCCCCTGGGGGTCTGAAGACTGGCTTCTCTCTGAGTATCATGGTCCCGTCCCCATCCCCATCCCCCCCACCCCCTCCCCCGCGCACCTTCTCCTTCACATCAGGCAGTCGGAGAGACACCAAACCCAATTTAATGGGAGAAACTGAAGTATTGTGGGCTGAATATGGCCCCTTCAATCTCAATGCGTGCACAGTTCCTGAGGACCAGGTCAAAAGGTTAATTCTAACTTGCAGGTCGGGGCTGAGGCTCTGCCTGCTTAGAGGCTGATCTGGATCACGGAACTTCGTCAGGGCAAAGGTGTACTGCCAGCCTGGTGCATATCCTAGCCCAAGGGGCTCTTTTCTGTCTTCCTCGAGTCTGGATAAAGATGCTGGGGGCCTCATTGGGCTGTGAGTGACAACGGGTCAAGCAGAGGGAGGAGGTGAGGCTGCAAACCCGGGGAAGGGAGGCTGGAGTGTGGAGGAGTGACTCGCACCTCAGCACCAGGGTTGTAGAGTCAGAATCTGACCTTGCTCCCTGTGCCCCAGGCAGCTCTGCAGTCTTATTCGAATGGTTTCTCGGATTCTTTAGAAGCTCCATGGTTTGGGGCATTGTTTGTTTCCACTTTTCTCAGCTTCCAATGGCAAAGAGGAATTGACCTCTGTCAGAGTGCCCTGTGAGGGCTGCGGGGGGAACTGGTCTCTGGCCGCTTCCATGCCACAAGGGCCTCGATAGCCCGCACATCGGAGGTGGTGTTGGCTGAGACCCCTGGTGCTTATCCACATCCACCAGCTCACGTTGCCTCTGAGCCTGGGACTTCCTACATGTGGGAATGATTGTGAGCGAGCGTCCAGGGCCCAGTTGCACACAGCAGCCTCAGCCGTCCCTGGTCCGGAGCTGGGACTCAGCCTCCTGGGATATCATCAAGCTATCTGCCAAGTCTGGGTGTCTCCTACTCTGCCGCCCAGGCCATTAGGAGTGGTGTGATGGACAAAACAGGGTGCCTGGACCCCAGTCATAGCCCTAGAGAAAAAGAGGTAGGCCCAAGGCTGTACCCACAGGCTTAACATTTCCTATGGGTGGACCCCAGATGGGCACCTCAGAGCAGGAGACATATTACCTCCAGGAATATGTAAGCTGCCACTGCCACCTCAAGTGATTTGATAGGACAACCCTGTTCTCTCTCCTCCCAACCTGGACCGACCTGCTTCTTAGCCTCTCTATCCCTGTACCCATGAAGCTATGGGGCTCTGTATGAGAGAGAGAGAGAGAGAGAGAGAGAGAGAGAGAGAGAGAGAGAGAGAGAGAGAGGAGCTTGAGCAGCAGAGGCATCAGGAGTGGGCAAAACTGACACCTCTGCCTGCTCTAGGCAGTGAGCCAACTTCTCAGTACCAGGCTGGGAACCCTTGATGCAGAATGCAAGCAGAGGGGCTTGTGATGGCGCCCGTGTGCCCATGCGTGGTGGGGAGCCACATTAACAGAAGTGATCACGGTCAGATGGCAGCTGGGCCGGGAGCCAGTGGCACTTCCTAGAGAAGCTGCAAGGCATATGCATTGCAAAGTGTGAACGGAATCTTGAAAGGAGAAAGCTTGCCAGTGCGACTCGGAAAACAGGCCAGGATCTCATGGCTTCCAAGAGCTCGGTGCTGGCCATGTCAGCTGGATTGACCAGGGCGGCTCTTGAGTCAGGGTCACTAATTTGGAGATCTGCAAGGACAGTGTGTCCTCTAAGAGGGAACTGATGAATGCTGACCCCAACCAGCCTTCAAAAGGCTTTTAAGGGGCAAAGGTTCTGTGGCCTCCATTGGGTGAGGTGCTACACTGTCCACCCACGGGAAGAGGAGAGCCATAGGGTAGGAGCTGCTGGGGTTGGGCTGGAGTATGCAGGGGCTGCAGCTGTCTGGGATGGCCTCTCGTTAAGGTAATGAGCCACCCGAATCCCACTCAGGTGCAGCTGGATGGGTGCTAGTTAGAGCCTAGACTCTTCTAGCTGGCCCATAATTAACATTTATCTTTCTAGCCTGGCATTAGCTTCCACTCCCAGATGCCAACAGGGGACAGGGCTCCCACTCCTGGGAAGTGCAGGGCAGATGAAAGAAGTTGGCATAGGCTAGCCATCCCTGATAGTCCTGAGGAGTTCAAGCCCACTTCAAAAGAATCCTATGTCCCTGTCAAGAGCCCAAGACCTCCCTGGGAATCAAGGGCCTAGCTCTGTTCTTGGATGCTCTGTCTGGAAACCCTGGCTTCCTCCTACCTTGCCTGCTTGGGACTTGGCAGAGTAGCCTGCTCACGGTGTCTGAACTCACTCTGTGGGAACCAGGCTGCTGATCCAGCACAACCACCCAGAGCTTCATCCCACATGCTAGCTTCAAAAGTTTAACCCCCTTATGTTAGATAACATGGCGTTAGCCATGACCCGTGCCTGCCCACTGATTCACAATAAATTATCCTTCAGTTGCTCAGAATGTCCCATCCAGTGTAAACACTGCGAAAAATTGTTATACCTTGTTAAGGGAACAGTAACAAAGAAGGAGGTCTGGGTGATGAGACAGATATACTGCCCCCCCCCCGCCACACACACACCGTAGAGTTTTGGTCCAGGTGAGTTGCATGCATGGAGGTAGAGTCTGTGGACACAGATACTAAGGGCCAAATGCACTTTATAAACCACAACTCAGGCTCTTGTATGCCCACAGGTCTTCTGCCTGCTACCCCCTGAGCCCCAAAGACACTCCCGGACCTCTCTGTACCTGTTGGACCTGCCAGGTCCCCTCTCAGGCATAGCCAACAAGCCAGTAAGGAGAAAGTGGGCACCTGAGCAGGGTGACCTTGTCTAGTTAGTGAAAAATCTGGAGTTGAGTCAGCACAAAATTCCTGCTCCCGTCACAAGGGGTAAACTGAGTCCGAGTGAGTTAGGGCAAGAAATCAGGACTTGAAGTCAGGACCTTCAGCTAGCAGGTAGGTCTTGACTACCTGGGATGGGGACTTGAGAAGGTAGGCGTGGGGTGGGGGTCCTATGTCAAGGTACAAGTGCTCTATCCCTGTACCCATAAAGCTATGGGGCTCTGTATGAGAGAGAGAAAAAAAGGAGCTTGAGCAGCAGAGGCATCAGGAGTGGGCAAAACTGACACCTCTGCCTGCTCTAGGCAGTGAGCCAACTTCTCAGTACCCTTGTTCTCAGGAAAGCAGGATAGCCTGGGAATGCAAGGCCTATACTGGGATCAGTCAGAGCAAGATCAGAAGACCTAGGCTCTTCCTCAGGGGAGAGATAGAGTCTCGAGAGATACCTACAGTCAGAGACCTGAGCTCACATGCACCCACACTATGGGGTCTGTCCCCAGTTTTCCCAACCCCTCTTTGTATTCTGAAAGATCAAGATCAATAATAATACTGATGGCAAATAGAAGGACCTACCAGTTAGGGTCTGCAGACTGGACAGCGAGATTGGTAGATAACCTGGTCAAACAGGCAGCAGCCCTCCCAGTGCTCTTGACTCCGGATACTGCTCTGTGTTGAGAGAAATGACGGATCTAGAGGGCAGACAGGGCAGACTGTGATGAGCACAAGGCACTTTTATTCGGACGTCCGTTTTCAGATGTCCTTCACATGCCCACCCTTCAGTCCCTTGGGTAGCCACAGCTCTCACCAACATCTATGTCTGCCCCAGACACATACCCTGTCCCATCGACAGTCCCCCACCTCAGCCCCTGGAAACCCATGGTCTACTTTGCATCCCTAAGGATTTGCCTCTTCTGGGTGTTCTATGTTATCGGAATCATACAACACGTGGACCTTGGTTCACCCGTGTTGCAGCATGTGTTAGCACACCAGCCCTTTTTCTAACAGAGTAATCTTCCCTCAATGGACTGGGCCACACTGTGCACATGAAGTTATGCATCATCATGAGGGAACAGCAGTTAAGAAAATGATAAAAAGCTGGGTGTGGTGGCCTGTTCCTCCACTCCCGGCACTTGGGAGGCTCATGTTTCTAAACCCAGGACATAGCTCAGTGGCAGAGCACTTGCCTAGCATGTACAAGGCCCAGGAGTCAATTCCCAGTACTGTACAAAATGACAAATAACAAACAGAGTGGGTTAAACAGAGTGTTAGGTGGGGCCCTCAATAGGATTCTGGAGCAGAAAAGGGACATTAGGGGAAAACCAAAGAAAATTACATAAAAAATATGAGCCAATACTGAGTCATTAAACTTTAATGAACAGACCACAGGAATCTAAGACATGGAGGTAGGGAAAGCTGGGGGTGGGGAACGTGGGAACCATGCAGCGGTACTGTTTTTGCAAATTCTTTGTGAATCTACAACTGTTACGAAAGGGAAAGTTGACATTAAAAATATCGCAATGCCTATGGAAGGCCAGGGACTCGAGGTGTGTTGTGTCCTCAATTGAGCTGTGGGGCAATGGCCACCTTTCTCGTATTCAAACAGGCTAGAGCGGGAGTGGCCTGGCAGCCAGAAGATGCCTCTGGAGTGGTTTTTGTTTTGTAGGCAGTATGGGATCTCTCCAGCAACCCGAAGAAGGCAAAGAAATTGTTTGCTTTATCAGATAAGATGTTGAGATAATGGAACGAAGGCCACAATTCAGGCCATCACTAATTAATCCATAATGAATATCCTGACTTGCAGGTATGCTTGAGCCTGGGACCTGCTCACACAGGCCCTGACCTTGGTCACACCCTAAGCTCTTATCCTGGTCACAGCTGA